ACACGGTCCGAGCTTAAGAAATGTAAGGGAATACCTCATTTCAAATGGTTATTGTATCGCTGAGTTATTATTATTTTTTTTTCAGAAATTATGTTTTCTTTCAACGTCTGTTTGAAATAAAGGTTTATATTACTTGTGAGTACGCCTGGTGTTGTTGACACATTATTTGAAAGTAGTTCCAGAAGGACTTGAGTAATTGTTCTATTTATTGTGTTTAAGTATTCTAAAACTCCTTACAAGGTTCACGAGCGCCTCATCTTAAACAGATTCGGCCCTATCCTTTAAATAAATAAATAACAGGATAAAATGTATGTAGCAAATGAAAAGAACCGAAACAGAATTTATACAGGTATAGCATAACTATTATGTCTATCACATACAGCCACCGTACTCATTACTATTTACGAAATTATATATTACGAAGTTATATATTAATCTACTTAATACTACAAATAAATAAAATACGCTTTAAACAATTTAAATTCAGTACTGAAAATTACAATATTTTACAGAACTCAGTTGTTGCATCTCTTCTGATAAAAGTTATTACCTGTTACTTATATGAAACTTCGAAAACACGTCGATATGAAAATTAGATAAATCATAACATATTGCTTTCTGTAAGCAGCGGTTATCTCGAAATGACAAAATATTCAGTTATTATCTTTACTGAACTGCTATAGTGCCTAACGATGGTGATTTCTATGTTGTTGTTGTAACGGAAAAGAAATAGAGTAACGTGACGTGTATAAAAACGAATCACGATAAGATTGGAAGGAGGGTACAGTACTGACAATAATGTATATGAACTAATGAATAGATTTCAGTCAATAACTGGTCAGAATATGATGAAATGTAGATATATAATGTTCTAAGTTTTACATATGAAACTTTTACCAATAGTAATGTAAATATAAAAGCACTCGACTGCTTTTAATCTTCTTTTCTTATATATTTAGTGTACAACTAATGTTTTTACTACTAAGGTTGGCGATATCGTGGGTTGAAACGGATATGTATGGATAAGTTCATAATATCAGCTTTGTTGTTAAAGATGAGGGCTTCTATTTATAATTTATTCATCACAACAAACAAATAAAATATCAAAAAACAAAACAGATAAAAAACTGTGTAATTTACTGGATGTTGTTGTCTTTTCTATAAAGCATGATATATTTCAGTATAGTATCCTGTACAAATGTATACAAAGTGCATCCGAATGGAATATAAGTGTAAATATCTATTATAGGATTCCGCTGGGATTTCACAACTGCTTAACTAGAAGCTGGAAAATATAATTGAACACGGGAAATGTGTTTATCATGTTGACAACAAAGAAAAGACACAAGGTTAATTTGCATAAAACAAGCATATTTTATTCACGTTAAAATTTGGTTAGAAAATAATACAAAAGGCCAGTAGGTGAACAAAGATCTGTGAGATGATGCACCGCATTACAGGTCAGTCTTAAGTGTTTCTGAGATGGAACGAATCTATGTAAAAAAGCGAAACCACTATCATAGAACATTTTCTATTTATATCTTTAGATTAAATATAACACAAAATATAGAATAGAAAGCAATAAATAACTTCAGAATACGTATTTACTGGCTGCTAGATAACACGAAACTAAATGATTTATATAAAACAGAAGAAGTATAGAAAATTAAACTCGACTCTCAATGAAAGCATCAGGTCTGATGATATGTAAGATAAAGGTAAAGGTAATCATCAAATACAATAAATATACAATTATTATTACTTCAAACAGTATATATGGTTAAACTTAAAGTTTTGTAAAGTACAGATGACAAATTATATACAAAAGGATTACAGTTACCAACATCACTCAAAGTAAAACACGTGATTTTTTTTCCCCATAGTTCTTGCGGACCGTCGAGCCGATGGCAGATCTTGCTCTGCCATCGTTTATAAAGCTGTTTCTTACGTCAAGGATGCAACCCACTTGACAGCCTTCCCTCTTTGAAAGGACGAGCATGTTTGGTGGGACTGTGATTCGAACCCGCGACTCTCAGATTGCGAGTCGAGCGCCGTATCCACCAGGCCATGCCGGGCTCACGTGATATATAGATAGGTCTATATCCCATACAAAGTAACCTTAAAATGTATTGGAAAAACAATATGGAGATAATATTCACATGCTCGCATAGCGAAGATAATAGAATTTATACAAAAACAAACTAAAATCATAACACTCAAGAATGTTTTATCATAGTCACACAAGAAAGTAACATGAATTTATCAGATATTCATGCTGTCTTACAGTAAAGAGATTGCAGCTAGCAGCAGTATATATATCCCATAGTCATTGTCACACTAAAAAGGTATCAAAACACTACTGCAAAAATATATCACTTATGTTCATATTTCCCACTGAGAGCTTGGGATCGAATCTCAGTTCGGGTGGAATCTTACTTTTAATAGAATTTAAGAAACTGACTAAGACAAAAAGAGTGATATTTGATCAAAACGATTTATATGTATAAAAATATCAAGATATAATACTCGGAGAAACAAAAATAATGTCATAATTATTGGACTTTTGCACTTTAATTATTTAGTTTCAGATGTACTGTTTGTAACAATCAGTGTTTTTATAACAGTGTCTGGCTTTTGCACTTCTGGAAATATGCACGAAACGTGACACAGCAGTACGTCTCATTAATGTGATCATTTATGGATATTGAAACATCCCAACAACGCTCCCATTAGTTTACAGATTCTTCCTTTTTAGAATGGTTGAATTACTTCTGATGTGTTTCTCAATATTCCTACAGTATAGACCAATTTTAAAAGAACCTTCTGTGATAAAGAGTAGCTTGATACTTATGATGAATGTTTCTTTAGATGTTTTACCATTTTCTGTATTTGATTTCATTAATACCTTGGAGTATAACTATTACAAAACTGAATAATATTTGCTGTTCATGTTACTTTATCACCCTTTGTTCGTAACCTCGGGTAAAAACATTTTGCATGTTGTATTTTTAATTCATGAAATGATATATTTTCGTATCTGTGCCCATTAAATATATGAATGGTGTCAATAGTTTTGAGCTGGGGCTTGAATCTCTGTTTAGGTGGAACCGAAGTAAAAGTGGAAGCAAGTCTGATATTATCGAACATAGTAGTATTACATAACCCCCCCCCCCCCAGTAGCACAGCGGTATGTCTGCAGACTTACAATGCTAGAATCCGAGTTTCGATACCCGTGGTGGGCAGAGCACAGATAGCTTTGTGCTTAATTTCAAACAAACAAGTATTACATAAAAACATATGATAATATATATTAATATATATAATCAACATTTGTACTAAATGGAGAAATACCGCAATTATTAATTTTTAAACACGCCCAAACATTCTTAAAAACATATATAACAGCAGCTTCATGTTTGTTTTAAATTAACAAAAATAATCACTCAAAAAGCGGTGAAATTATTGTTCTTCTTCTCCCTGTTATTGCAGTAAAAAACACAGGAGGACCAGACTAAAAAATATTTACACTGGTAGACAGTAATCTGAAATAATATATCACACTTGTTGGATACATATTCATATTTTGATTTAAATGTTTTTTTTTGTGATTTTAATAACGAATTGCTCTTCACGGGTAATAAGACAAAATTTATGAAGCTAGAAACTACGATTAGGTGAAAGAATGTAAGAAATTTGGAAATGACGTAGTGTTATAAGACACAGTACCTGTATTGATAGATTACTATGACCATAATAACGGCAGTGTTATTCAATTATTCTATCTTCGCCGGAGTCACTGCCGTAGCTCAAGAAACGACAAGGAGAAATCAAACAAACAAACACTAATATATTAAGATTGGGTTGTATGTTTGTAGTTATATTCACTTCCACTTATAAATATTTGAACGTTTAAGATGCACAGTACATAATATATAATTTAAATTTAAAATTATTTTCTAACTTTTATTTATGATAGGAAATATTGAGATAAGTTTCAATAAATCAATTAACTTTTATCCAACGCCTACTTATTAAGAGAAACTATGTTTACTAATTGATGTTATTTAGGTGTTATGATACATTGAATAAAACACTGGTAAAATTACTTACAAAATATAATCATCAATATTAGAGATACTGTTTGATCCAACTTTAATAGATACTTACTTTCTTTCAAGAAATGGGTGAAAACATTATTTAAATTCTAACGTTTACTTAAGTTTCAAGGAACTGGATGAAAAATAACGAAAAAATAAATAAATATTATCGATATCATTACTTTGTATACAAGATTGTCGACTAGACAAAACTAATAAGAAAGATTAATTTAATATTCTATAAGTCTTATTACTGTAGAATTTTATGCAATCTGAATCTAATGATATTCTAATTTAGTTATAATCAACTGTAAGGATAGGAGAAATACCCATTTTACTACTGGTGACCTTTGTGCTTCGCCGGTAATTATGTAATATCACACTCGTAACACTTAAAAAATTCATAAATAACCTACAAAAGAAAGAGACTCCGAAATATAGTTATTCTTGGGTTCTATTCGTTTTCATAAAGTATATAGAAAAATATAGGTTTACATTTTAGTCATGACAAACAAGTACAAGAAACATTCAGTCACAAAAATTGTCCAGCAAAACAGTTTAACAGATTGGTGTTACTTTCTTAATTAGTACTTAGCCACACTTACAGCAGATTCCAAGGGGAGAAATACTTTTAGTCTTCACAAAATGAGTCATCAAATTAACCACCTAATACTCATTTCAAATGACCTATGGGAATTATAAAAAAAGTGGAAAATATTACTCCTGTTTCAACTTTCCTCATCTTGAGACTGTAAATGTTGTGTTTATGAATACATTCACGTCCTAACTCAATACCGTGATCCATTTTAATTCCCATGTGTTTTTAACATCATAATTACGTATCTCGTATGATAAGTATAAAACCTGAGGATATCTAACACTCTTCTCATTCTGCATTTTCCACTCACCAAAGTTGTGTTCTTCAAGTGAAAATCTGTATGGTAAGCCTGTTTTTTTCTGTGTTTGTATGATACGATGGTTTCGTAAACATCCTATTTTAAAAGAAACATTAAAACTATTAAGAATTTATTTCAAACTGGTTTGACTGAAATTTTTAGTGTGGCAAATCTACTCATATTCTGTAATCTCGTTATAGTAAACTTTATGTTTAATAGTTTGACAGAATTACATGTTACAGTTTAAATAAAATATAAAATATCTCACGCTTAGCTTCTAGACTTTAAAACTCCACTAAAGTTTTTCGTTTGTTTGCAGATGACAATGACCATGTATTTATCACTTTCATCCATCGTATTAGTAACATTACTTCTGACTACCTCATCTTCTTCCCAGTTAAGTGAAAAACGTGGTTTTACTGACCAAGGATGTATGGGAACTTACGACAGTACCAAGCTTGCTCGTCTAAATCGAATCTGTGAAGGATGTTATAATATTTACCGGGTTCCGCTAATTCACAAGTCCTGCAGGTGATACAATAGCTAGTTATTATAGAATATAGAATGTATTGGGTTGACGGGGTCTGACATGACTTGCAATCTGAGGGTTGCGAGGTCAAATCCCCGTCGCCGAAAATGCTCGTCCTATATGGTTTTCCACTGGGCTAGCTACCCAGGTGTAAAATTTCTATGCTTACAAAAAAATACTGGCAAACTCTAAACTAGTTAGGAGTAAAGTCGTAACAGATAAAAAGAGATTGAAAATAGTGCCTTGTAACAGTAAAAATGATGTGTCTATTGATCAACATTCGTTTTTAAATTCTAAACTAATCATCTGTTCCTATAATTAAAATCTTACATTGGTACATATAAAAAAAATATCTATAGATAACAGTAAGGTTGGTTAATGAGAAAGGCAGATTTATGGAGAATAATTTCAGGTTCCATGAACCTCTACACCACCAGTTTTACACGGTACTATTGCTCTAGCTCCATCAGTAAAAGGGCGGTTAATTTCAGTTGTTATAAATATATTTTTTCTCTTTTTTGCAAAATTTTATTTTCCTCTATTCTGTTAAATGATATGTTTTTATTATTTTTGTGAAGATTCTGTAGTTCTTTTGCTAAAGATTAAAATTATGAAAATATTTCATACATAGTTATACTAAAGTCGATATTTTAAGTATTCTACCCTCTACTTATACTGTTACAATAACTAAAACGTGTTATTTTTCACGTTTTGCAGAAGACTGATGAACTAGGTTATAATTACTAAGTACATTCAATATTTTTGTTCAGATCGAACTGCTTCAAGAACGACATGTTCACCGACTGTATCAAGGTTCTGCTGTTGGAGTCCGAGGAACAACAATTAAACAGTATGGTAGGAGAATTATTTGGAAAGAGGAAGTAATATACTTTGTTGAACTGGAATATGTTGACACGGAAACTTGTAATAAGAACCAAACTTATGTTGAATTCAGGAAATAAATGAAATATAAATAATATATAGTTTCATGGAACGTTGGCTATGTTTTATAAAGTTAAAATGTGTCAGTTTTCATGTATGCTTTAAGATTGTTACATATATTGTGATGGAAACAAAGTATCAAGAAAACTTTCAAATTTATTACTTAACGTAATATAACACTTTATAAATCATTAACAAATTTACACAATATTGATCTTACGATATAGAAACACAAATATAATTGAAAAAAACAACAACTTCAGATTATAATCAACAAAGAATAAGAAAACTCGAAATAAATTCTAATTTATAAACACAAATATTTTAGAAAAATTAAAAGTTTAACAGAATTACTGTGATCATATTATTAACATTTTTCTTCACTAAAACGTGTTAGATCCATTTTGTTTGTTTTGGGAACTTAAATGACAGCAACAACTTAAGACCCAGGAATCTGTTCATTTATTTTAGAAATTTGCTTTATTTCTGCTATATGATTCATATAGGCAATAGTAATCTTGAGCTAATTCGATAATCTGAAACAGGATATCTTTCTCTTATTAATACATTACGAACAAAATTGGAAAATATGTACATTTGGTGCAAACCATTATGGAAAGAAGTCCACTATTGGTTAAAGGTGAAGATCTTAACATCGGATGACTATTATGGATAAGTAAAACCATTGCGGTAATCTTCACTACATTTACAACTAATGATCATCTTATCGACGTGAAAGAAAAACGCGAAAAACGTATTTTTGTACAGACTGCTATTATTTAATAAGAGCTTATTAAATTAATTCTTGTTAACTTTGGTGTAAAGAGTTTTTCATACTAATAAAGAAGAAATAACTTATACAACTCTCTAAGAATGTAAACTATTAATTCACAATAATAATAATATTACATCTACATATTTTATAATATCAAAATCATTAACTCATCTTCTGAACAGACACTTATTTCTATTATGTTTAGACACAAAATATTTGACTCTGAGAGGTTTAATTGGATAATCACTTAGAGAAAACTTTAATATCCAATCGTCATTAGCTTATCTCAGTCTTATTTGTAAAAGACCACAACATTCAAAGTTCATCCAACATTCTGTTTTGGCTAAAATCGAACACGAAGTAAAAATAAAACACAACAACAACAAAAGATATAAAGTAATGAAATTTAAAACCGAATTGTATATGGGCCTTGAAATTTTGGAAGATGATATAATTGAAATGGAATATTATAATAAAGACATAATATCATCTGTATGTCTATAATATCTATTAAAATAAACCAATGTGTACATTTTATATAAGCTTTCATAATGTTCAAATGTAAACATGGTGTCAAAATTGTTATGAACACCACATTTCAGTTTTGAAACTAATCAAAATGTATGTTATTTAAAAATGTAGAGCTTCCCAAGTATTCAGATTTAACCCTCTACACAAAGTTAAAAACAGGGATATATTTCAGAATATATGTCCTTTTTCTATAAAACATTGGATATTTAGTTCCCTTCAAGTCACTAGAAGACCAAAACCTAATTATGCACATTTAAATTCTATATAAATTAAATATTTAGAGAGAAAATGCTTTATTAAAAACAATAAACCTAACTTGGTACAACTTTATTGAAACGGAATGTGTTGACACAGAAACTTGTAACCGTTTCTTCTCGTACTAATGCTACTTTAGTGTTACAGAACAATAAAAGCTGTGATTTAAAAACAATATTATTCCAGATACTTATTAGGAATGGATTCAAAAATTTGCTTGTCATCTTCATAAACTTTCCTCTTTAATTATTTATCTCTGCTATGCAGCGACTACAATACCATTTCCATCAAAATACAATATACACTAGCTCACCAATCTTTAATAATATTGCAAAATCTTCCATGATTTGCCCGAGATAGCTTGGGTGCCCTCTATATTTCACAAAGTTTTTGCCCGAGTTAATTGGGGCGAATATTTTTTCGCAGTAGTTTTAATAATTTGCCCTAATTTATTCGCATGCTATCATGTATTACAATAAGCTATCAAAAAAGCGAACTAAAAATATACTGTCTTTTTGGGGCTCATTTCAAAATACAGAATACCTTTATTAAAAGGAGTTAAGAAACTCTAACAAATCTGGCTGGTTTATGAAAAAAATCTAATTCAAACTACTTCTAAGTTGAACATGTATTGTATTTATATTGGACAAAATTGGCTTTCTGAGTAAAAATATAAACATTTTTAAAATTTCAATTGAAACTCGTTAAGTTATTAGTTTATTAAAATCAAATAAAACTTAAACAATTGGTTCTATTAGATACACCTAAATGTTTTCAAGTGGTAATTTGTTTTGCTAATGTACTTGATTTTACAGCCACGACACGTGTACTCATGCACGAGCCATGAACGTAGAAATTTAGATAGTTGGGATAAAAATAAACACCATTGACGACTCACGAAATTAGACTAATACTAGGACTGAATTATAACAGCTTACTTAATATACTGAAAACTTAGCAAAATTAATTTATTAATTGGTAAATTTTAAGTGAAATACAGCATACTCAGGTCTGCATACTGGTTATTAGCTTTCAATTGAGATACCAACGATTTCACCTGCGACTCGTTAAGAAAAGTCGAAGCATCACGATAGTTAGCAGTAGGATGAGCAGACACGAACACTTGGAAAGCAGCTACAGGCATAATATTGTACTCGGATTGCTGCACAATAGCTGCCAATATGGTTTAAATGGCTCCTGGATATATCTGCATGTCCTTTAGAGATTTCCATGCTTCTTGTACTCGGCCGGTAAGCTCGTGATGCGCTGACGGATTTCAGTCACTTCAACACTTGAAAGAGTGCGGAAAATGGCATTTTTTTACCAATAAACATGCTCAAAAAATTTCAGCTCGAATTAAGAAAATTCGGATTAGGTAGTTTTTCTTTTAACAAAAATGCCCCACCCCACTGCCTCGTGAGGGGCCTATTAAAGTTGAATCAAATAGATTATAATTATATTTTCTAAATTATTATTTATTCCAAGTCTCTTAACACCAAAATACAATCATTTGATAGTCAATTTTTTAAATATTAAATCTTTTTATTATTGGATTTGTAATAACATTTATATTCTTATAGAGACATATCTGAATATTTTCCGTTATATATTAAAGGTAAAAATATATTTTAGTTTTAAATTCTATATAAAGTGTTGTATATTATAAATTGTCAGTTTTAAATCTTTTTTTCAAAACTATATTTTGTTTGTTTGTTCAAGTGAATATAAATACATACACAGCACACTCATTCATACAACCATAATATATTAGTCAATATTTATTTATTTTTAGTTGTTCGATTGCACTTTGTATAATTCTTGATGCACGGTAGTGACTCCAACCGAGTTATAAGGACTGAGTAACCCTACCGTTGTTATCGAACTTTTAATCTGTTCAAAATGCTGAAATACCAACATTAATAATTATTCTAAACATATATAAACATTCTTATAATTCATTTATAACAAAAGTTCCAAATCTGCTTTAGATTAAGAGAAATAAACACTCAAAAAGTGATAAAACTATTGTTCTGCATCTTCTCCTTGTTGTGGAAGTCAAACATATAAACAAAGGATGACCGTCATGAGAGTGATACTTATACTGGTAGATATCAGTCAGAAATGAGATATGACAAATTCAGCACATACATACATAAATACTTTAACATAATTTTCATTTTTTTATTTTAATTGTAAATTGCTCTCCCCAGCCAAGTGAATCAATGATAGGTTTGCATTAAAAAAAACATATATTTTCTATTTTGTGTTTGGTAATACAATCGTTTCAAGATTAGTTCTATTCTATACTGATTGTTTAGAAATATACTAACATTCTGATTTTCAGGATAAATCTTATGTAAATCAAATAATATTCCTCTTAATATTATATCAAAAGAGTGTATGATTTTTTTTTAGTTGCATTAAACAAACAGTTTTATGTTGAACTATAAATATATATACTGGTTTATCTACAGATACAGATTTTGTTAGTTTTTAGTCATGAAATATTCCAATCAGGGGTATTTGATCCCAATAGAAACGAGAGTTTCAAGGATTTCAGTGTTGAATGTTTTGTTTATGGAACATGGCAGAAGGAAATGTGATTGACTAATTACCGACGAAATGAAAACGGCTAGAATAATAGAAAAGATGTAAATAAAATAAAAAGTTTATTAAAGAATAATGGCAGATGAAGTTTCACAGCTCATTCTTAACCCTCTTGATGTTGGGATGAATATTTTTAAAAGCAATGAAACTTCTCCCACAAACCACACTGTTCGTATTTCTAAGCAATTAGAAACTTATAATGAAGAAAAAAAAAAGGTTTACAAAACAAAAACATTTTATTTTTAATTTTCGAACGTTTCTGAATACACTTATTCCATCTTCAGCGAAATCTGAAAATAGTGTTACAAAGATATTTTAATAACTAAAACTATAGTATCATTAATCACTAGTTAACTTAGTCATTAATTAAAGTCGTTAGGAGTAGAGCATCCGTTAGCTACTAGTAAACTTATAGATCATGTAGTAACGATAGAGAAATCGTTAAATGAAATATTGTGACCTGTGGTTTCAACATGTGAACGAATGGATGAGTTGTTGGATTTAAGTAGTGGACGGTTTTCTACGCTTTACACAATACATTTAAAATACATACCAATTTTTGTTTCTAATTTGTCGTATTATAAATACGATGTTAGAAAATATTGAATTTGCACTTTTATTGTTGCTAACTTGTTTCTCATGTTCTGAACATACGTAAATTGTCATTTAAAAAGTCAAAGTAAATAGCTTATGAGCTGGCAATTTTTATATTTTTAAACTCTATAGTAATTTATATTACACCGTATTTATGAAGTTAGGCCTATCGCTCTATAAACGTTGATTATGCTAACTATAAAACTTGTAGTAGAAAAAAAAATAAACGTTTTCTTTTTCTGTTACGTGGACAGGACTTTCTATTATTTTTTCAAAGAA